CTCTTGTAATCTCTAATCGATTCTCCTAACTGTAGAAATGAAAAATGAGGCTGTGAGACTATTTTGCCGTTTTACGCTGCTACCCCCCCGTTTTTTCTATCCTCGCGAGGTAAAAATGTGTGTGAAGCGCGTTTTTCCGTATCCATCCGTCACAGACCGCAGCCTGATCCTGTGATATTCGCCACGCCTTGACATAACGCCGCCAGAAATCGTGATTTCGTGGTTAAAGGGTTTCGTTGCGAGCCTCGTGAACGTACGCGACCATTTAAACGAGCTGCAGCCAGTTTTTGTGAACTACGGATTGAGAAGATTTTTGAGTACTTGCAATGGATAATTGTGGCAAATTGTGGGTGTTTTAAGGATAGGTTCGAAGCTATTTTTGTTGGTATAATAAATAATTATCAAGGTTGTAGTGGGAAAAAGTGGGATTTTTAGTTGGTAATATAGTGAAAAAAATGGAGATTTTTAATCGGTAACAGTGACAAAATTGGAATCTTTAATCGGTAATATAGTGAAGAAAATTGAGATTTTAAATCAGAAATATAATGAAAACATTGAGATTTTAAGTTGGTAATATAATGACAAAAATTGGGATTTTTAATCGGTAATATAATGAAAGAAATTGAGATTTTGAATGAGTAATATAATGAAAATAAATTGAGATTTAAAATCTGTAATATAGTGCAAAATAATTGGGAATTTTGATGAGTAATACAACGATAACAAGATCTGTTATATATTCTAGATATGTTGATGTAGTCTTCATATTTTTATTACCATTTTTCAATTTTTTAATATACAATGAATCCTGTTTGTAAGGTACAATTAATGAATAATTAATCAAACAATAATTATGGCTGTTTGATTACTGTAAAATTTTCTGCAACTTTTGTATATTATTTTATAAGTGTTCTGAATGTTCTTAAATTTTGCAATGGAAATCTTGATAATTTTATATTACACTGAGCTCCTCAGTTTAACATTAACCAATTTGAATCATCCAATACATTGATTGCAAGTACTTGAATAGACACTTGACCCAAAATAGAATTATTCGCATTTTCAAGCTTGAGAAAATTATCAAAAATCTGTCCACCATATATTCGACATGTTGAAGGATAGTAGCTGAAAGATAATTAAGAAGTTTTCAATTGTCCTGTTTCCCGAAAATTGGCGAGAAATTAATTAACAGCACATTGGCAGAAATTTCGTAAGAAAAATTTTACAGTGTATCAAATATTACGTGATAACATATGAAATGACCATCTATTTAACAGAACAAAATTATCAATTAAATTACACTAATAAAAATACGTAAAATCGTTCTCTATGAATTTTTTTCATATCTGTTTTGAATCGTAAAAAAGTTCTAAGAATATTGGAATAAAAAAATTGACTTCAAATTGACTGAATTTTTGATTCCAAATTTCGAATTTACCACATTTCCAAATTTCAAATTTACCAATTTTCCAAATTTCCAAATTCCAAAAAATTTCTCATCTCGACTGTTTTTA